AGAAGCACTGCTTTTGGGAGCTATGCTTTGAGAAATTAAGAAAAGTGGATCAAAATCAGATAACAAAAGAATTAAAGATGAATGTTTTGAGAGGACAATTTGGTCAGTTTACAAGGTCAAGCTACTATCTAATGCATCTTTTTCAATAGGTTATGGGTTTGATACTAGTCAGAACCACAAAAAGAAATCTCAAATAGATTATATGAAAATATCTGTTTATTGGCAATTTTGAACATCTTTCAATTTGTATTTTTAATAAGTTTATATGTATCCTCAACTTTTTCTTTTTAACCTTAGAATAAATCTATATGATTAAATATAAGTTTGACATATACTTTTCATAACTCTCAACCATGAGCATTTAGCTTTTCTAGTTAAGAGAATTTCATTCAAAAGATTAGCGTTTGTTTTGCTCCATTATTTACTTGGATTTAAACAAAAAAGCATAAATTAAAATTATTGTTGTTGAGAACAAAAGTCTAATAGGACCTAGCAAGAATAAAAGAATATACAAATTGAGATCTCTAGTAGATAGTTCAAAAAAACACACAAAAACCAATTTAATAGGAAGTATATAATAGCTGGGTATAGGGATTTATAACTTATTTGCAGGCAAGAAGACCTTAGAGAAGTTTTGGAGGATTAGAGAGGTTGTATTATGGAGAGAAAAAAAAAGAAAAATTACAAAGAGAAAATTTTGTTGAGTTGTGAGAAAAAAGAAAGAGGATTTTACTTTTCACTGATATTTAACTTTTGGAATTTTATTAGGTTGTGTAGAGAGAGTAATAGAATTGAGAATTAAGTTATTCAAGCTATGAGAGATAGCATTCTGTCATATTTTTAAGAGAGAGAGAGAGAGAGAGAGAAAGAGAGGGAAATCATTTTAGAGGGAGGCCAGAAGTCGTTAAAATATACAAAATAATGAATTCGGACCAATATTTTTAAGCCTTTATTTAATTAATTAAATTTAATTACGATTATTATAAGAAATATGAAAAAGCTTTAAGGGTAAAGTTATTCAAAGAAAGTATCACTCAAAACTATCACTTTTAAAGGGAGCATGAATACCATTTTTTGAGGCCAAATTGCACTAAAATACCCTGTATTCCCTCATTTAGTACTTACATATCCTAAGTTGTTTTTTAGAGCATTTATATATCGTAAAAATTATTTAAAATTAGTACTCTCTGTCATACAAATGTAAAAATTTACACACAAAAGTTCCTACATAACATTCACATATAAATTTTAGAGATTTGTAGTCATTAGTATTTGTTAAATTTACTATTAATCCTACCTAAATTCTAATTTAAACATATTCTATTCTATTTGAAAAATAAATTTTGTATAGATTTAATAGTAAGTTCAGCAAATTTAATAGTTAAAAAGTTGTAAAACTAGCATATGAACATTGCAGGAGAACTTTCGGATAAAATTTTTTAAGTTTACATAATAGAGAGTAGTAAAGTGCTAATTTTAAACAACTCGAGATATATAAATGCTCTAGAAATTAACTGAAGATATATAAGTGCTTAATTAGTGAAATATAATGTATTTTATTGCAATTTAGCATTTTTAATAAAATGAATACTATTAGTTACGATTAGGGGTGCTAAACCGTATCGGTATCCGAGGAAATATCTGTAACCGTATCCGTTAGGATGCAAATATGGTTACTGAAATATATAACCGATAGGATATGATTGTGAATATGGTTTTGTAGTGAAATATATGTATCCGTATCCGAAATATCTGAATACATATTAGTCATACTCTTACGATAGTTTCGATTCTTAAATTATGGATTCGTGGTTAATTTTGATGATCAAGATGTCTAATCTTAGCTTTTTAGTTATAAAGAATTTATTAATGACCTCTTTTGCATCAACATAAACCATATTTTTCTCAATACTATCTAGTTTTCTCATATTTGTTTTGTATATACCTACATATCGCTTATATATCCGTATCTATATCCGTAACCGTATCCGATTTTAGCGGATATGGATATGAATTTGCCATACCGTGGTAAATCAGTATCTGTATCCGTATCCGAGATGGGTAAACAGACATAGATATGATAAACATCATATCCGAGCCGTATCCGGACCGAATGCACCCATAGTTACGATTAGTATTATGTTGGTTTGGACACATGAGGACGTAGGTTAAGCTAAGTAGTTCTTGAGAGACAAGACGCTATGTACACACATTCTGAATTTTATTGGCCACCCTTGCATATGCAATTTTGTATGAATTTTATTGGCCACTTTTGCATTTGCAATTTTGTAAATCCAACCACCGTCCCGTCGGCGCCTGCCGCCTAAAACTCCCCTCTCACCCAATTAAAACCAATTGAATTCCAAATGACGAAATAACACCTCCAGTTCTTAACTATTTACCTATGATGCCACTTTACCTCTGAAACTCCTGTGGGCCCCACTTTGTCGTCCCGGATTGACCTCCGAATTTTCCGCCTCCACCAGCCGGCCATTTTGGCTTTGAGAGTTATTTTTGCGTGTAGGTCCTTGACTTTTGTCAATTTGAACTGTGCTTGAAGTAATGGTTGAAAGTTGTATAATAAGATGATTATGACAGGTAAGGACGGTGACCTGCATGTTGTAGGTTCCGAGGATGAATTTGTGGTAATCAAATAAATTTCATTGAATTTTTTAATTAAAAAATAATTTAAGAAATTTAAATATTGTTTATATTAGTGTATCTAATGTTTACATTACAATGATCGATAATCTAATTTCAGTTAGAGCAAGGGCAGCAAGCTCCCTTCAGAGCTCTCAAGGCTGACGTGGCCATGGCAAACTTCTTCCCCCCCTCCAGCAAGCTCCCAAACTCTCCCAAGCCTCGCTCTCAAGGCTGACGTGCCTCCTGAGAGCTTCCGAGCTCCCAAGCGCTCCACAAATTTGTGGACCGCTTGGGAGCTCCCAACTGGCCTGAATTTAACAAAAAAACCCCCCCAACAAGTAATCGTCGCAGATCTACACAAAATTGGAGTAAAAATCGAACCTTTTTGTCTCAAATCGATGAGATCGGCGGCGACGGACTTCAGCTTCGCGGGCGGCTGGTCTGTACTCCGATGGGCGGCGGTGGTTGAGTCTCCGAGGCCGCGGGTTGGGGAGCCAGAGATCCGATGGTCGGCGGTGGTTCAGTCTCTGGGTTCGTGGGTTTTTGAAGACTGGTTTGGGTTGGGGAGAAGAAGAAGAGGCATGGGTTTGGGGGGAAATGAAGAGGTTTTGGTTTGGGGGAAAATTCGTGGACATTTTATTCTCTGGGTTCGATGTTTTTGACGAAGAAATTTTTTTTTATTGTGTTTTATTCGTTGGACTGAGTGAAAAAATGAACGTTTGAAAGAAAAATTTGGCCGTTTGAGTGAAAAAATGTACCGTTGTGTAAAAAATGAAACGTTGAGAGAAAAAATTATTACCGTTGAGCTATGAGCTCCATTTTCTTGCTGTTGAACAGTAAAAAAAACCTCTATAAATTCACAATCCACAATTCACAATCCACACAACTCTCTCATAAAAAAAATTCTATATTTTCCTATCAAATTACAAATCTCATGGATCCCTCCCAAAACAACTACTATTCGCATCTCCTTACCGGTGAAGGATCGACCTTATACTCGCCGTTCTATACAGAAGTCGTAGAAGAAGGTCATCCCATCGAGTTATCGCAATCCGCAACACAACAAGTGTCATCCCAAGAAACACCGACCACAAAAAAGAAGAAGGCTTACACGCGGTCAAAAAATTGGACTGTCCACGAGGATAAGCTTCTTGTGTCTGCTTGGCTGAACACGAGCCAAGACGCCATCCAAGGTACGGGGCAACACAAAGATAAGTTTAACTTATATGTTTGATTATTCTAAATTTAACTCTTGTGTAGACTGCAGAAGTAAAAGAATTATACCAATCCCTTTATGGTAAGCCATTCGTGTTGGACCATTGCTGGGTTGAGTTGCGTCATCACCAAAAATGGAACCAACAAATGGAAACTTACAATAAGATTCGATCACAGCCGAGAAGAACCACGAACTCTGATTCCTCACCAAACAATTCCATGCCAGCGACCCCCATCGAGTTGAACATTGACTCGGATGATGTTATAGCAAGGCCTGAAGGGAGGAAAGCGGCAAAACTCAAGAGGAAACAAAATGTGGACAAATCTGAGTCCGCTAAGTCCATTATGGGAGAGGCTTTCGCGTGGATGAAGCAAACCAACAAAGAAAAAATGGAGCTAAAACAGAAGAAACGAGATGACGATATCATGAAGATCGATCTCTCAACACTCAATTCAGTTCAACGTCAATACTTTGAAATGCGTCAGGCAGAGATTTTGGAGAGGTGGATGTCCAAGGGTTCTTCCTAATTATCATATATTGTACTCGCATCGCATCCTCATTTGTTCTTCCTAGTTATCAATTAGTATCTTATATTAGATTTATGATTGTACTTGAAGTTGAAAATTTTGGCATTGAATGAAAACAACTACTTTATTAAAAATGAAATTGGCGTAGTACAACAACTTGAACTCCTTTTCTGAAATTACATTAGACATAAAGAAACTTAATCCTCGGCGATGGATCCCTTAAGCTGCCACAGATGCTCGATCAAATCATTTTTTAGTGATTTGTGTGTTTGCGTGTTCCTGATCCGATGATGATTTTGGATGAACTCAGTTAGAGGTACCGTCTGCACATGAGAAGGTTCAACGATTGGTACCGAATCAGTAAAGTCAAACTTGTTGTCTAATTGACAATCACGTTCATCTTCAACGATCATGTTATGCATTATGATACAAGCTGTCATGATATCTTTCAGCACACAAGGTTGTCAGAAACGTCCTGGTCCACGAACAATCGCAAATCGAGCTTGCAACACGCCAAAAGCTCGCTCAACATCTTTTCTTGCGCTTTCTTGTTGTTGAGCAAAGTACTTATGCTTATTTCCTCGAGGTGTTGGAATAGTCTTCACTAATGTGGATCACTCTGGGTAAATCCCGTCGGCGAGATAGTATCCCATATTATACTCGTGGCCATTGACAGTATAGTTGCACGGTGAAGCTCTTCCCTCCGCAAGTTGTGCGAAAACCGATGAACGATGTAGAATATTAAGGTCATTGTGAGACCCCGGCAGTCCAAAGAAGGCATGCCATATCCAAAGATCTTTGCTAGCTACGGCCTCCAAAATAATTGTGGGTTCATGAAAATGTCCAGTATACATACCTTGCCAGGTAGTTGGACAGTTCTTCCATGTCCAGTGCATGCAGTCGATGCTCCCAAGCATACCAGGAAAACCTCGTTGTGAGCCTTCCTCGAGCAGGCGTGCAACGTCTTCATTAGTCGGTGCACGAAGGTATTCCTCTCCAAAGATGTTGATAATCGATCGAACGAACCTCTTCACGCTCTCAACATAGTCGTCAACGGAGTCAGTGGATGCTCCATATGCGAGCATCCGCATAGCTGCAGTAATCTTTTGAAGACTAGATAGTCCTAACTGTCCAGCACCATTCCTCTTTTGGACGAAGTACTTGTCATGTTCGACGACTGCGTCGTGGATTCGAAGGAATAACGAATGCCTCATTCTGAACCTTTGACGAAAATAATAAAGAGGATAGGTTGGTACGTCAGCAAAATAATCTTGGAATAACCGATTGTGGCCTTCCAGTCGGTTTCGATGGAGCACGATACGTCGTTTGTGTTGAACTGAAGTTGAACATTTCTCTTGTTCTTCTTCCTCAACGACAACAGCTTCCATAAGAAAGAACTTCTTCATCATTTCATCATCGCTAGAGCTAGATGAGCTAGACATTTTATTCTGGGAGATGATGGGTTGAGGAGAGAAGCCGTCGAATTTTATAGGCATTAGTCGGATGACGGTCAAAGTTTGCGATACCTCGAACTTCGTGCCCAACATCGAAGACCGCTGGTTACATCGAAGACCGTGTGCGTTTCCTCAAAAGCCGCGGGTTACCTCGAAGACCGTGTGCGCTCCCTCGAAGACCGTGGGTTGCCTCGAAGACCGTGTGCGTTGCCTCAAAAGCCGCGGGTTACCTCGAAGACCGTGTGCGCTCCCTCGAAGACCGTGGGTTGCCTCGAAGACCGTGTGCAACGGTTAGAAATAAAATACAAGAGGTTTAAATATAATTAAAAGTAATGGGTGAAATATTAAAATAGAAGAGGGGTTTTTTTTATATTGTTGGAGCTCCTAACTAGGAGCTTGTTGGAGCTCCATAAAAGAAGGAGTGCCTCCCAATGTATAATTTGTTAATTTTTTATTTTGAAAAGCTTGAGAGCTCTTGAGAGCATGCTGACTAGGACTTCCAACTGGGAGCTTGCTGCACTTGCTCTTAGCTTAAAGTACAAGTGTCCAACTAAAGTAAAAAAAAAAAAAAAAACATTTTATTGTAAGTCTTTCTATAGCTCACGTGATTTGATGTTGTAGGGTCAGGGGAAATAGGTCCCACAGAGGAGTGGCTAATTTGAGTGCTTTATGAGATGTTAAAATTGGAAACGAGAGGCGTTCGTTGATGGGTAATTAAAGCCGATGTTGCTAGTCTTTTGGATCACTTGCAAAGCTAGAGTATGTGAAGCTCGTGCGCAGAAACAACTTACTGATTAATGCACGGGTCAAGATTGATCTTTACGGAAGTTACTTTTGACACTCAGATTAATTAGATGATTAATGCAGTTGAAAATAAGAGTAAACAAATTTGGGCTTGTTTGGATTGAGGGGAATAAAGGTGAAGGGAAGTTAGGGGAACCATTCATCTTGTTTGGGAACATTTAGGAGATGAAGTTATTCGCCCTAGTTCTAATAGTATAAAATTTGTTACCCCCAAATTAGGGTGTGTTTGGATTTCAATGAGGTTAAGGAAAGTTAAGGGAAACTAGTTGAGAGAATGGAAAGGAAGGAAAGGAGTTTCCCTTCCCCTTGGTTACACCCAATTTGAAGGGTAACAAATTTTATGCTATTAGAGGGTGAACCAATGGGAACTAGGGTGAATAACTTCACCTCCTAAATGTTCTCAAACAAGGAGAATGGTTCCCCTAACTTCCCTTCACCCTTGTTCCCCTCAATCCAAACAAACCCTTAGAGACTTCCCCTCCTCCCCTGTCTCCCAACTTGAGGTTCTCCCCATCATTAGGAACTGAATTATCCCTAAACAAATATTATGATCCATCATGCGAGAAATTTTTACACTTTCCATGGTGGCGTGATTGGTGGTGGTCATCGCTCCCTCTTGGGGTAGTCGATTCTTCCTTTCTCTCCATCTCCTTTTGTCAAATCTTTCTTAGGAATTGAAAGAGGGAGCTAGAAGAAGGAGAAGCTTGAGGGATCCTTCATTCCTTTGTGAGTGGATCATATTAATATTTGTTGGCAGAAGAGGATTCATATGGCCGAAGAGCTTAAATAGGACATGGACACTTGTTCCTAGGAATTAGATCTCTTTCCATGATGATGTGAGAAATTAAGGAGCATGGGGAGGTTATCCAAGCAACCAATAGCAGCTCAGCTGGGTGTAGAGTAACACTTCACCTTGGGTGGCAATCTGGAATAGTCATCCGGAGGACTTAATTAATTAGGTATTCAGCTTATGACTTTGACAACATGGCATCATAGTAGAAAAAATATTTTAATATAAATATCATGTATTAATTTTCTTTAAAGTACTTTGTTCGGTAATAAGGACAATTTTTCAAAATCAACCTATTGGAAAATTTAATCCCAGAAAACAACCTCTTTCAAACTTAATTACAAAAACCGACCTGGTTTCAGCGCCAACGCTGAAACCAGGTTGGTTTTTGTGAAAAAACTTCGGAAACTTCACGGGAGTTGAACTCCCGTGAAGTTTAAAACTTCTAAACTTCACGGGAGTTGAACTCCCGTGAAGTTTAGCAGTTCAAAAAAAAAATGAACTACGAAACTTCATGGGAGTTCAACTCCCGTGAAGTTTAGCAGTTTTACTAAACTTCACGGGAGTTCAACTCCCGTGAAGTTTCAGATAAAAATTTTCAAAAACCGACCTGGTTTCAGCTCCAGGGCTGAAACCAGGTCGTTTTTTGAAATTTTTTGCAAAAACGATCGTTTTTTAAAAATAAATAGTGAAAGATGTTGGTTTTGAAAATTTGTCGTCGGTAATAATTAATGTAGGGCTCACTTATAGCTGTTGAAATAAATTGTTTTTTAAACATATTTTCTGTGATTAGTTTAATCGAGGTATTTACTTTCAAAGTTAAGTAACATTTTAAGCATAGTTCCTTTAATTATGAAAACAATTAAGAACATTAATTATGAAAATTTCCCCATGTAAAAGGAATCAAATTACCCAAGAAAGCGACCGGCGAAGAAACCGTTTCATCATAGACTGCAAAACGAGTAGGAAAGGAAGAATCTCATCTCAGTTCCTCTTCCGTAATTCCCCACTCTAGGATATTTTAGATATTTCCTATGTGCTCGAATGGCAATTTGGGAAATCCAATCATTGGGTAGATTACACACGAAACATACGTTCCAAGCCCATCCCTTGCTCAGAAGAGAGCACGATTTAATAACAACAACAAAATATAATTAATTAATTAATTTAATTAGAAAATAAAAGATAAAGTAAATAAAATAAAAACACTGAAGAAAGAAAGGTGGTAGATGAGAGAGAGGGGTTGCCTCCTATCTTCCTCGCCAACTTCTCATCCTTCCTGTTCTGCCCCTACAGAAATCTCCGCCGGCCTTCCCATAATACCCCTGCTCCTCCTCTCAGGTAAACGAAAAGCCTCATCCTCTTCGTCTTTCTCTTATCTTTTCATGGGTTTCTCTAGTTTGACCTTCGGATGATGTTACCGATGTTGGTCTTGGTTCTTGTGTCGTTTCTGGCTGATGGGTCTCACTCATTGTGTTGTTTTAATGGGATTTTAGGAGGAGACTATGGGTTTATTTTTTGTGGGTTTTGTTCCTTTTTTTAATTTCTTATTTTTGGGTTTTGGGTGGTGGTTGGTTGACTTGACACCCTGCTATACTAGCTTTGCTGAATTTTGAAATTTTCTGTAAGTTTGGTTTATTTTGGTTCAGGTGACATTGAGTTGGAATATGTTTATGAAATTTTTTGGCAATAAAATTAGTAGAATTGGGATATAAAACCTCTCACTGAAGGAGGCTTATGCCTCTGTTTGTTTGATGGACGAGAATATGTTGAATCTGTTGTGGAATAATTAGAAAGTGGTTTTTGAAAGATGGTTCATGACTCATGTCTTTCCTTGCGTATATGGATCTAACATTATCTGTTCATGTAATAAACTTTTTTGTTTTTTGAGAGTGAATTTTGGTAATTATGTTGATAGTGCATTGGGCGTGTATGAGTTGTTCCATCTTAATTCATGAATCTTTTTTTAGTAAAAAGGCAAGATTCTCATGATACTTATTAACTAAAGAAAATAGATACAGAATATAGTCGTATATGTGAAGGGAAAGGAAGAGAAGAGGGAGAAGTTTAGTAACAAAAAGTACGAGAAAGTTTAAGTGCTAGAATATAAAAATATAATTCTCGATCCTCACCATAACTTTGGAATTTTGGTGTAATGGTTAGAGGGACTTAATTTAAGATGGTATCAGAGCCGGAGTTATGGTGAGGGTCGAGGATTATATTTTTGCATTCTAACAATAAGAAGAAGAAGATAAAAACTTTGTCAATTTTCTTAATGAAGATGTCACCTTGCTCCTGTTCAGTCATATGCTCCAGCTGATAGCACTGTTATCATACCAGAAAGAAAGAAGATGATCGTACAATCAGAAGATGAAGTGGGCCTGTATCTATGAATTTAACTCATGAGTCATATTCTTCATCTCGATGAATCGTGTGTAAAGGATTTTGTAATATGGTTCCCGCGTCACATTGGCTATTGTCTATATGCACGTGCTTTACGTCTGCTTATAAACATTCATGGACGTTTTCAACTACTTAAGGCTATAACATCACTATAGGAAATTATATATAACCATGGAAATTTCCCCATCGTTATGCACGGTCTCTTTGCACCATACTACTAGTATGTGTTACATATTTAGTCACCTCTTCAAGCCCATGTCACCACTTCCTTGTTTTGCTACATGCTGATGAGGTGTTTGTTCATTCAGTTCAGATTCTTCCTTTATCAATCTCCGTTGTAAATTTATGAAAGTAATTCTTTTTTATTTCTATAAGTGATCTTCTCTCGTTACTTTTACTTATATTGTAGTAATTCCTTGAAATAGGAAGCTTATTTCTTCTAAGTCCTTGTGGGTTGATAAAAAAGGCAAGTCCTGTAATGACTGATTTGAGTTGATCATCTCAGGTTTTCTAAGTGCATCAAGTCTCCTCTTGAACTTTCTTTCCGAAGTTTGTCTGATGTAAATTTTGTCGTTGTTCTTTCCAAACATATTTTTCTATTTGGCTTACCTCCCTCATGAAATTCTATTGGTTTTAAGTTTAACCAGCCACACGTGGAGCTAAGTTCAGAGATTATCAAAATCCTCACCGTCCTAACCTGCGGAAAAATTGAGGTTTAGTTCAAGTTTTCAGTCTTTGAGTATGCTCTACCCTCAACATCAGGACTAAAATACCTAACTCTCAATGTTTCGATTGTTTTTGCACTTCTGAAGCATCTAAAGAACAGTTTTGATTGGGTGGAAATTGTGTAACCTCCAAATTTGCTCATGGCCTCTTGGTTACTCTAGACACCAATGCTGCTTTGTTATTGCCTTTTAGTTAGCATTGACATGGTCTTGCAAATTCCTATTAATTTTCTCTATTTAAGCTTCAGACAAGGTGTTGGCTTGTAGAAGTTACTTAGGGTAGAAAAAAAGTCTATATGGCGTGAATTTAGAGTAGTGTGATCTTGCAATACGTAGTATAATATGCTAAGGCAAGAGACATATGATGTAATTTGCCACTGTCATAATTTTACGACTTTAAAATTAGAAAAGGCCGTGTCCAGAATAGATAGATCTGCCTTCTTATTGAGTACTTTTTGAGGCATGATGAGTGCTCCGGTAATTTGAATACAACTAACTACTTTTTTTAGCTTGAGAACCAAGATAAATAAGTATCCTATTGGATTATATTAACAAATCCTAGTGGATTTGTGATAAATGCTTTGTTTTTGTTGTTGTGTTAGATAATCAAGAACACAAATATGAGGATCGGCGGTTGATTCGTTATAAAGAGTCTATTCTAAGCCTTCAAACTTTATATATGACATGCCAACTCATGAACTACGATATGAGGACCAAATAGTGTTGTAGGGTGGTGCATGGAGGAAGAAGCTGAACTTTCTCACATAATACAAGATTCTCATTGGTATAGTGATATCAACAGGCAATTTGACTACAACCTTTGCTTCCTTGAAGATGTACAAGAAGGCTCCTATTGGTATAAACAGTAAATTATCATGTCATCTAGTCTGCATATATTAAGTCATCAATGTGTTACGCTCTTATAGTTCCCTAAATTCTTGATTACATCCTGTTCGAGTTAGTTTAGCGAAAACTCGTTACATGGTTATGTGTTTTATTTTATAGTGACCTTGAAGGAGATATTGAACGCATGAAAGTTCTATCTATAAACCATCAATACAGCCATTATAGTGACGTGAACGAATGAATGCCACACAAATGTGAAAGATCATGCCTATCACCATCAAGGCATCAAATAATACACAGCGAAAGCAAAGGTTTAGAGATCTTTCTATATGGTTCATAAGAAGTTTTTCAGTCAATGCCTTGACAAAATGAAAATGGTATTAGTTTGTGTGCTTCCTAACCTCTGTGCCTACCTCCCAGCTTTGGTTTGGTTTTGGCCTTCTTCGTTCTCCGACATTGCTATAATTGGCATGTGCACATGCTTTTCTTATTATTTTTTCATTATGCTTGGTCCTTTTTAGCAGCACAAAGGAATAATAACGCAGATTAAAGAAAGAAAGAACACTGAAAAATCACAGATATATAGGGATTTAACGAGGTTCAGAAATCAATGTAGTTACATACGTCTTGGGAGTATAACCAGTTCACAATTTCACTAATATTATGAAGGATTAGAACCATTCTCTGAAACTCTAAACTCACTTACTCTCAGTGTTTTCAAAGGCGCGCGCCTCATGCGCCTTACGATGCGGGCGGTGGCGAAGCGCCCCACTTCTGATGCAACAGCGCATTTTGCGCCTCACGTACATCCTTACTTTGTGTAGGGTGCATGTAGTACATATCCTCGTATAGTTTTGTTTGTTAAAATTTCAATGGAGTCTTTATACTTGATATTCCATATCCTAAAAAGCAAAATAAATCCATTTTGCACCATTACTAATCCTTTGCTTGAATATTAGTCTTGATGTAATATTTGATTTGAAAATTTATGAATTTTGCTACTATGTTGGGTGTTAGCATTAGAAATTAATGCATTATATTGTAATTTTGTAGTAAGATATTATTTATCATGACATTTTTCATGTGAATTCTAAAAACATGTTCTTTCGCGCTTGATTATATATTTTGAAAAATTATGTGGGCGGTGTGCGCCTCGCATCACTTGGGCGCGCGCATCGCGTTGCGCCTTGCGCATGTGCGCGTAAAGATGTTTTACGCCCCGCATTGCGCCTCACACATTGATAACACTGCTTACTCTGGCATCTATATATTTTTTTGGGATAAAACTTCAATAGGCTGCTGAGATACATATTTGTCATTGGGTTTCTGTGTAAAGGGCCAAAATTACAAAAGCAGCCACACTGTTCAAATGCCAAAAGAATTTTGTTTCGTGTCCGGGCCCCAGCCCACCATCCAAACCCCCCACCCTCCCCCACCCCCACCCCGATAGTAGGGGTGCAATTCTGGGATAGGGTACTAATGTATTATTCATGTCAATCAGGCTCCAAAAATAATGATAATAATTCAAACTTCGCTTTAAAATATTACCCGAGGTCACTAATATTGGCAATGTGTGATTGGTGTAGCACAGTCGCTGAATAACACTCCGTTGAGTTATGGGTCATTGCTTATAATAATTTTATCATTTTCGATGTTGTTGTTAATGCTCATAATGTTGTGGTTTAATTAATTCTCACTCTTGAGTATTGCCCTTGGATTCATGAATTTATCTTGCTAAATATTCCAGTGATATCAGAGGACTTCAGTAAAGCATGGTTAGCCTAAGGAGACGAAGGCTTTTGGGGCTATGCTCAGGTATATTTCACTACTCCATGCCATAATTCATTCTGAGTAATTTTATATAGTGAAGATGCTTACTACAGACATCAGTTCATTTATGTTCGGATTGATCTCTTCACATAAATGTTCATACTTAGAATCATCTGGTGCTACCTTTAGTGGCGGTGCTAGGAATTTCGGCAAGGGGGGTCCAAAAAATTGTTAAACCCTCACCTACAAGAATAGAAGATATTCGACCTCTTTTAAGAAATTGTTCCGTGATTGAGTCATTATGTTAGTCCCTTAAATCTTTCATATTTTGAAATTAGTCCCTCAAATCATGGAAATTGCTATTAGATCCCTCAATTTTTGACTTATTTTTAGATTAGTTCCTCCACTCAAGAATATAAGTAGTGAGTGGAGAGATTAAATTTGAAAAAAAAGAATATGAGAATTGGAGGAGCTAATAGTCCACAACGATAGATTTTAATCGTAATTCCTTTAATTGCTACTCCTATTCTTAATTGGAGGGATTAATTTGTAAATAAGTTAAGAATTGAGGAGCCTAATGGGAACATTTGAGTGGCTAATTTCAAAGTAACCTAAGAATTGAGGGACCTAATAGCAATTTCCATTTATCTGAGGGATAGATTCAAAATATGAAAGTCTTAAGGGACCAATATGGAAAAAATACCAATACCTATAATTGATTACTTTACTCCTGCAGTCAGTTATTAATATATGAAAGGAAAAAAATGTGGAAGTTGTGCATAAAAGCCTTATCGAGGCTTTCATTACGAATTTTCAATCTTAATATTATGAGTAATTCTTCTTGGACCCCAATTGAGGGACCTTTCATTGGACAGCTGAGTTGGCTACCTTCCATGCTGGCAACTAAACAAAGAATAACAAAGTTAGTTTCGGTTGTATTGAAATTAAAGAAAGAAATAATTTGGAAAGAAAATAAATGACTTTCCATCTTCTCCATCTCACCAGTCATCAGCCACCTTCACTTGCCATCTCATTTATACGAATAAGTTCAACTGTAGAGGAGCAAGGTTTTAAATATCGGATATCGGGGAAATATCGGATGACCAAAATTCATATCGGATTGCGGATATCGGGGAAATATCGGGGATATGTGGTAAATATCGGAATGCCATAATGAATGTTTGCATACATAGTATAATACATTAAAATGTAATCTCAACATATGTAATGAAATTTAAGCATACAAAATATGAATAATATATGTTTAGGATCACTAATCAACCTTCTAAAACAAACAAAAGTGCAAAGCAACGTTGCAACATTCGATCTACTTTTTTTAGGGTAAAACGTCATTTGATATAATGGGAAAATCTTGATATCTCGCCCAAAAATTCCAAACACGGTATATTATTTTGCAACAAGTTATATAAAAAGATATATTGGTCCACATATCGGCTAATATATCGGTCATATCGGGGATTTATCAATCAAAATAGCCAAAAAACGGTAAAGGATATTTAAAGACCATATCGGTTGCGGCAAGCCCTGTAAAAGGATATATCGGGGGATATATCGGGCCATGTCGGGGATATTTAAAACAATGGAGAGGAGCGAGTCAGGCGACAACATCAATAGAATATGAATAATTTCAACGTGAGAGGAGCGAGGCAGGCGACGACATCAATAGGATGGCGGACTGAGATGCCAATTATAGCGAGAGCACGGCAAAGTCCGTGATTTCCATGATGATGAAAGCATGGTGGTGATAGCAATGACGTTGCCAGCGGCACGAGCACTGGGTATTGGAGTTGTCCCACAGCATGAGCATGAGGTATTTGCGTTGCCTGCAGCATGAATTAAACAAGGGAACAGAGTTGCTCTTGAGATGAGTTCTTTCCAACGAAAGTGCCCTTGTTGGTAGCGGAGGCGAGGCCAAAAAGACACATATAGAAGAGATGGGAAAAAGACACCTTAGAAGAGGTGGGATGCTTGTAGCCCTTGGATCTGGGCAGAAGGATTTAGGTTAGATGGTATTGTTGCCGAGATGGGAAACTTGGATTCCATGGTGGCTTGGAGTTTGTTGCAGAGATAGGAAGGTTGTCGCCTTTGGGTTTGCACACAGGTCTTTGAGTTCCATGACTGCTTAGGTTTTTCCGCAATAGCAATGGCTGCTTGAAGTTCGCTGTGACAGAAGATGAGACACTGACTAAAATGCCCTTCCTGTATCACTAATATCCTGCAACTAATGCTGATTCATTTTTTCCACATCATTGAAATTTTCCAACTGCACGTGCCATGTCAGCTGTTCCAGGATGTGGTCCCATAATATGGGTCCTGCTAGCAGCACTCTAATATTATAGCTTAGCATTTTCAGTTTTAACAAAAAATAACTCATTTTGCTTGGATAATTCTAATTTCTATTTGTCTTTTCAGTAAATTGACAAGTTATCTACAATTTTCAGGGAGAAATTCTGTTCCTGTTCAGCTTCCAGGATCCACTGAGAATGGAAGTATTATGGAAAATTCTAATAAGACTGTAAAGCCATTCAGTGTGCATCCTTTGCCTTCATTTATTCTCAGCCATCAAAAACCGGTAAACCCAGATCCGTACATTATTCATGTTCTTAATATTTACATTTGGTTTGTCCGTTCTGTGATTTCTTTTATTTATATTAGTTAGGAGCACCTGAAATCACATTGATATATGAACTAATTCTATCCACTATTTTGTTGGAATAATTAACTTGAACATGTGAAGTAAAATAGTTATGGTAATATATTTTTAATTTGAAAAATATTGTGAGTGCCACCAACTATGAAAGTAAACAACTATCATAAATTTTACGAACTGCTATCGTTGATTAGTCGAAGGATTTGCGTATAAAGATTTACCCTCTCCTCATGTCTGTGTGCAAATGCAACCCTCTTGTGAAATAATTACATGAAGAAGTGCTAGAATGTTCAACAGTAACTTTACATCCTTTGCTCTAAAGCGCTACATCTCTGCTCATGAATAATATTTGAAGGTATTTGTAAATAAAGTTCTTTGTTTAATCTGAGTGAGGTTTTGATAATTTAGTGGTCATATTTGTTCTACAGACAAATATTTCTGAAGCCAGCTTTGCCTCTTCTAATGCTTCTGCTTCTAGCTCATCAAAGGAGGACACAGGTAACTATTATCCAGGTTAGTTCTTCCCTGATCAAGGAAGATACTGTGTCAAAGGATTTCTTTAAGGCGATAAGAATTATTCTATTGATGAACTCTCACCAAGAGGAGACACTATTGATTAAACGTGAAATTAAGGAATTTTTATTCTTTACGGAAAATTTGGAAGAAAATACACCTTAATTAAAAATATTTATTGCTGCAGTGCCATTTAATTCACTTGATATTGAACCTTTATTCATCGATTTTTGTGGCTGAAGTTGTTGAATATTGTAGTGATAGACTGATAGTGTTATATCTAAATTCTAATTTTTCTTCAGAAGGTTATTGTTAAGGGTTTTCCCCCTAGAAACCACCTTAAAAATAGGGTAATTATACGGAAACCACCTTTCATTTTCAATTTATACATAAACAACCTTTAAAGTTGTTTTTTGTTGCAATCAACTACCTCCCATTCAAATTTTCCGCTAAAACCCCAAAATTACTTTAAAAAACTCTCATTCAAGTTATGTGTCTCTTTTTTTAGTGTTTAATTCTTGTTAGGATACCCAACTCAAGTACCTTGAACTTGAGATTTTTAAGCTTATTATTGGTTTTTTAGTGAAAATTTGACTGAGAGGTGGTTGATTGCAGCAAAAACCTATTTTCAAGGTGATTTACGTCTAAATTGAAAATGAAATGTGGTTTTCGTATGATTACCCTATTTTTAAGGTGGTTTCTAAGGGGAAAAAAACTATTGTTAACTTGAATCAGATAGTATATTGAACTTTTAGAAGACTATACTTGTCCTTTCATTCTTGCACATATATACTCAGTGTACCACATTAAATTGTGAACAGAACTCCTGGAGCCCCTTTCATGCTAAACTCTACTATCAGCAAGTTTTGGTAGGTAGAGAAGGTTACTGGCCACATATATTTGTTCTGGAAACTTTGGTTGGTAGAGAAGCTTATTGGCCATACATATTTGTTTAGAAAGTTTTGGTTGGTAGACGTGTATTTGGAATACACATGTGTTCTTATTCCTGTTCATATACACCTTATAGGAAATCTACGCTCTCTTTGCAACTGTAATATATACTAGGACTCTTGAGTCTCAAAATGTAAGTGTTAAACTAATGGCGACCTTTAGTTCATCTCCTAGTGACTTGAAATATTTACCTTTGTGGATGATTATGTTGGCTAATATCTGCTAAGCAAATAATGGTCTATCCTCAAGATTTACATTGGCCTTTGTTGATCTCACTACTCGCTTTGCAGCACAACCTTTCTTCTCTTTCTTCACATTTTATCTTTCCTTATGCCTATCGCCATAGTCATGCAACTCCATTCCCATCGAATCATTCATCATCCAATTTATGGACTAAACACATTGTTTCGGGTTTTCCTACTTTTGAACATTATTCTCTACTATGATCACACTTCCTCTACGTTATCATTGTCTTCCTTGTCACTCTCTTGTCATTGTATGCTCATAAACAACTATATCATTCCTTAAGTTTCAGTATTTCTTTGAAGCCATTTTTCTAACACTTCCTAGTTAATGGGCACTCCTCTGGATACTGCTATCCTTTATGACCTATTTAGGATACTCGACTCACTTAAGTTGGTGAGGTATTTATTTTGTTAAACCCATACATTAATTCAGCTAATTACCAAACGCAGGTTTAGTTTCATGGTTTGCGGTCTTCTGTTGGTCAAATTAGGGAACCTTAGGACAGATTGTAATAGTTGATTCAGCATATTGTTATATCTAGAAGTTGTGCTTGCAGCAAGTTCTAAAATGTTTTTATTGATATCTCTGTTTACAGGTAAAAAAGTAAAGCGCAGGAAGCGGCATAGGAGAAAGCATTATGAAGACCAGGAACCATGCATAATGAGGGGTGTCTATTTCAAAAATATGAAATGGCAGGCTGCAATAAAAGTTGACAAGAAACAGATCCACCTGGGCACTGTCGGATCGCAGGAAGAAGCAGCCAGATTGTATGACAGGTACCTATCATACATCTGATTACTGAGAAAATTTGCGATTTTCGTTCATGTTTCGGAACTTAGTGATTAAGTAACAAATAATTCTCTGTGATTTGTTTTCCATTGCCGTTGCTCTACTTGAAGCATAATAATACACAATGTGGATTTTGGAATTACTAGTATGCCACACGCGCGATGCATGTTGCATACTTGGTTTAAGAAATTATTAGTGAATAATATATTCAACGTTATTGATTCTTAAATATGTACTTACAATATAATATTTACTTATGGTATATTGATTCTCATTATATTATGCACAAAAGTTACAAAGGCCACTAAATAAAAGAGTAACATTAAACGTCTAGTATCTTGTTGGAATAACAAAAACTGCTATTAGATACAAAATTACAGAAGGTATAATAGCAAGATGGAATCACAACCGATAGAAAAATATTATTTGAATAGCTCAATTCATGGGAATTGTATAGGTCAATTTTTTAATCCAAATGAAAAAATCTCAATAAATTAATCTGGATTTCATATAAGAAATCAACATTTTTATGCAACTCAACTCAACTATATCATATATACATTTGTATATTCTGATTTACTCAATGATTAGAAGATAGATAGCGAATATGTTTTATTAGTTAATCTTTGTAGCCTGAAGGTGATAGAAACAAAGAACTTATTGGTGATTAATCAAAAAGAAGACAAACAAAGTTTCATAATTCAACATAATTATTAATGAAAGAATATATAAGATGCTTAATAGAGGTAAGAAAATGAAAAAGATAAAAAACATTGAAAGTGTTGGATTAGTTGATAGCACCTCTGAACTTAAAATGCATATGAATTGAGTAATTAGTAAAGAATTAAACCACAAATACATCTAATTAATAAGAAAGCACAACTTATGACCTATATTAAAAAGAAAAAGCACAACTTATGATAAATAGCACAAAAAGCTCTTTACAACATTGTGCGAGGCGGAAAATCTTTAAATAGCTTCGCATAAACTCCAAAAATAATATCATACATTCCTTTTTAAGTATTAAAAGATCAATAAGAATCTTACCCAATCCACAATATAAAAAAAAAGCACACTAAAAACAATCTTTAGATTTCAAGTCAGATTTATATATACTCTTAAATAGCAAGACTTCTAAATAATAACCTTCCTATAATCTATTATCCTTTTATTTTTCAAGGATTCAAGAGACAAAAAACAAATTAAGAGCTATGAATTGAACATGAGACATAGTCTTCAGCTCCATAAAAAATGTATCTTCAAGTCTACAAACCATTTGACAAATATTATTCAATGAATGCATGTGCACATACATATACAAGCCACATATATTATAAACAATTTGACCAAGGTTATCGATAGCGGATAGCAACGCGTAGCGGTGAGGCATCGCTAAGGTTATTTTGGGCTATTGCGGTAAAATAACGGTAAAAAGTGCAAAGTCAAATAGCGGTCTAATTTAGATATGTATAAATAGAAAGAAAAATTAAAGAAAAATCTAAAAAATCTAAAAGTACATATTGGATGATTTAAAGAGATCCTAAACAGAAATAGACATGTAACCATCACGTAATACCGAAGATAACTGGAGGAGTCAAAAAGTCATCGTCTTCGAGAAGAAGAGATTAGCGGTGACAGGATTGTCCTAAGAGGAGCTCACGGTGAAGGAGGTGAGAGGAAGTATCAAGATAGGTGCCAGAGGCTATGAGAGGTGGCGGGAGTATGCTGAAAATCACTGGAGACAGTAGAATGCAATGATCAAGGGTTGAGTTTAATTTTAAAAAAATAAGCCTCAAACCGTTTTTAAATAGCAGTCAAAAAGCAAATTTGAGTTTAATTTTAAAAAAATAAGCCTCAAACCGTTTTTAAATAGCAGTCAAAAAGCAAATTTCGAATGTAATCGCTCACTATTTATTGTTATGACACTATTGGCCGCTTTTACGAACAGACATATTCCGTAATATGTCACCGTTATTACGCGATAGCGTAACGGGCGATAGCGTCGCGGGAAGGGACCGCTAACGCTATTAGCGTCGCTATTGTGAGGCTATTTACCGCTATTTATAACAGTGAATTTGACAAACTTTCCATATAACATATTTCATAAACCATTGTGGTTGTGTACGAATTTGGCTTAATAGGTGATATGGTGGGTTGAAGAGAATGGATGACCGTAATTTATAGTGTAGAGAAGAAAAAAAGGTTATGTAAAGTGGAAATGAAAGAGTGGTTAGTTTGTTGGATCCATAATATATGCATTTAATTAAATAAGTTATGGAATCTTTACGAGCTGAAGAAATTAATTTAAATCTTATTATTATTAAATAAGTTATGGAATCTTTAAGAGCTGAAGAAATTAATTAAATCTTATTATTATGATGATTTGTAATTAATTTAAGGCTCATTGAATGAGACTGCGATAAATTTAATAAAGAAATTTATTAAAGTAAATTTGAAATTATCAAACTTGAGAGGGGTAAAAAGGACAATCAAAAGTTTTAGCACCTTAATCCTCTTTTATATGTAGTATAGATTTAGAATACACATATTATTAATATAGGTGTCACACTTGCATTTTTTCAAATATCGGTTCCATTTAGCAAAACCATGAAGGTGGGAATTTAGTCCCACACTAGAAAGATGGCTAGATTGTAGATGGTTAGATAGGGCTGAAATAGAGCTAATCTTTTTGAGATGATATGGGTCGACACAAATTGGCTTAAATCATCTCTGTTTGTTTTGCTTTTGCAATCCAACACTTACTAACTGATGATCAGTTACTATTATTAGGAAAAACTGGACTATTGGTCACATTTTTTGGTTCTACCTCTGATCACAATTTCAAAAAGTTCAAGAAATCCCTCATAAAATACTATGCTTTAAAATTGTAGTGAGGGCAAATTTGGTGAAATCAAAAGGCGTCCCCATTTTCTCTACAACTTCCATCAAGTTCACTAACCCTGTTTTAACACCCCACTCGATCACGTGTTAATTCTTCCATCCCCTAATGGTCTAATTAAACCTCTAGATAAATACATACAATGAAGAGAACCAACCGGTGTGCAAAAATAACACCGCTTACCTCAAGTTTGAATTCTGTCTCGCACGCAGGCAGTGGCCAAGAAACTTGTGTATTAATATGCTAGCCAATCTTTTTTCTTTTTGTTCCCTTTATTCTGTACTTGTGAGATGAAAACTTCCCATTATTTTTTGAGTTGATATATGCTTATTGTGGGATATATTACAAACGGTATTACTATAATTAACATGCCTATTTTTGACAGGGCAGCTTTTATGTGTGGGAGAGAGCCAAACTTTGAGCTCTCGGAGGAGGAGAAGCGAGAGCTGAGCCAATACAAATGGGAAGAATTCCTGACACTGACACGCAACGCTATCAACATCAAAAGTAAAATCACTATCTCCTAATCCAATATATTCAACGTTATAATCTCATGACGATCCTTGACTGTTTTCTTTATCGTATTTGCTGTCTTTCATCAATTTTCCTTAGAACATCAGAGAAGGATCGGCGTTCGGGGAAGGCCAAGGAAGACCGAGGTGCAGAACAGTAATTACGATCCAGAGAGAGGCACCGGTGTCTCCTCAATGTCTGATGATGATGAAGATGAGGAAACATCTGCAACTTGATTGTTTCTAGTGATTATAGTTTGTGGAGAATCTGAGCAATGCTAATTTTTGCAATCAAGGCCATTCATCCACATATTTATTTGTAGGTAGCATTGGTAGTTATTATTTGTTATGTTTTGGGGAGACCCTATATGGGCAAATTAGGATGGAGAAGTTAAATTGAACTGATAATAGTTGTACTTTGTTGCCCTTCTGTAGTATTGGGATAAGGCAGCCCGCAATAAGATATTTATATAATTAATTTTATCCAAATTACCCATAATGAAGTCCTCTTTATTAGATACTGGTTGATTTTCAGTTTATAATAGGACTTTCATATTTTTGGTTTAAGTTCTATATTAGGCTGTTGATACGTTCAGAGCAATTTTTTTTACTAGGTATACATTAAAGTAAAATCAATTAGCTTTAAAACTCACTACAGGATGCCACATCAGCTTCCTCCTGCGCAAATTTTTTTGACACGTGTCATCCCATCTTAACCGTCCATAGTTATAGCTATAATATCTCAACATTTAATCTAAATATCTTTATACATAGTAGAATCTAAATTTTCAGCAATCACTGTAACTTTGAGGCGATTCTTCTTAGAGAAAAACAGTATTTTTCTGCTCAATAAGGTGATTCTTCTTAGAGAAAAACAATATTTTTCTGCTCAATATACTTCTCCGAGTAAAAAAATTATCGAAAAAAATTTCTCCAATTTTTATTCTACAACCTGCAAGGCTCTTTGCTCAGAGAAAAATAATAATTATAAATTTCAGGTATTTATTCTACAACCCTCAAAAATACTGATCATTGTCATTGGAAATTTAAAGATCGGAACACGCCCGCCATCTAAGTGTCTTCAAGTTTAATTTCGGTACAACACTCTATACATCTCTAAATATGATTAATTTTATTTTATATCGTAAAGTTGTTTTTATTCATAACTTGATGCATATTTTGATTGAAAATTTTAGACTTGATTTATTGAATATATTAGAATAAAAGATATTGGATTAAAGTTTTAATTTATTTTTTATTTAAAATATATGAAAACAAAAAGCATTTTTTAATAATTAAGATTTATTTATCAAAATATCCTAAAATTTTGAATTTTTCAAAAATCTAACTTTAATTAAATTACTAAATTTGGACCGTGTTCCTATTCTTAAATTATTCTCAGTTTAATACAAATTTTAAAATAAGCAAATTCCTAAATTTTTTAAAAACAGTAATTATGATATAAATAAACATCAAAATTACTTTGAATTTTCTATTTTTTATTTTTAAATATCATTGAAAATTTATTTTTATACGACATTTTAGTTTAGGAAATTTTGAAACTACATTGATTTTTTTGGTTATTTTATTTTTAAATATTTTTAAAATTTATTTTTTATTATAAAATTTTCAATTTCAGAATTTATGATATTAATATGAATTTTTGGTTTTTTTGTTTTTAAACATTTGTGAAATTTTATTTTATGCTAAATTTGATACTAATTTTGAGATTAACTAATAACGAAATTTCAAAAAAAATCTAAATTAACAAATTTATGTTAAATTAAAGATACCAAAGTTATATATGAGAGATTCATGTTTTAAGCAAATTAATGGAAAAAAAATCTAACTTTAATTACACTGGCAAATTTATATATAAGATATTCATATTTTAAGGAAATTATTAGAAAACATCTAACTTTAATTATATTGACAAAGATCTTGTTCCTATTTCTAAATTATTTCGAATTTAATACCAATTTTGAAATAAATTAATTTGAAATTTGCCAAAAATAGTAATTATGAGATTAATGATTACTGAAATTTATTTAATATTTTATTTTTATATATTTAAAAAAATATTTTCATTCAAAATTTTTTAGTTTCGGAATTTTTGAAATAAATTTGGATTATTTATTATTTATTATTTATTTTTAAATATTTCTAAAATTTTATTTTTGTTCCAGATTGTTTAATTTTTTAATTTGTTATATTAATGTGACTTTCAGGTTTCGTTAATTTTATATATTTGAAAAAAAAAATTCATACCAAATTTAATATTAAGTTTGAGATCAATTAATACCGAAATTTCAAAAAAAATTAAATTACAAAATCTATATCACCAAATTCAAGTTATAAAATTTATATATAATACTTTAATATTTTAAGGAAACTATTAGAAAAAAATCTAACTTTAGTTAAATTGATAAATTTAGATCATGTTCTAATTTTTTAAATTATTCCAAATTTAATACCAATTTTAAAATAAATTAGTTTCAAATTTTTTCAAAAATAATAATTATGAGATTTATGTTTTTCAAAATTAATTTGAAATTTTTCGTTTTTATGTTTAAATGTTTCTAAAAATTATCTTTATTCGAAATTTTTAATTTTTAGAAATTCTGAAATTAATTTGAATTTTTTACTTCTAAATATTTTAAAAATTTATTTTGACTCTGGATTTTTTTAATTTTAGAATTTCGGGTTACAATTTGAATTTCAGGTTTTTTATTTTTATATATTAGTGAAAATAGTTTCATACCAAATTTGATACTAATTTTGAGATTAATTAATACCACTATTTCAAAAAAATTTAAATTACCAAATTTATGTCCCAAATTCAAGTCACCAAATTTAAGTATAATAGATTCATATTTCAAGAATATTGTTGAAAAAATGTAACTTCAATTAAATTGGCAAATTTATATCACGTTCCTATTTTTAAAATTACTCCTAATTTAATAGCAATTTTGAAATAAATAAATTTCAATTTTTTCAAAAATAGTAATTATAAGATTAATGAATCTCAAAATTAATTTAAAAAGTTCTAAGTTTTTTATTGTTAAATATTTTAAAATTTTATATTTATTAAAGATATTTTAGTTGAAGAATTTCTGAAATTAATATGAATTTTTATTTTTTATTTTTAAATATTTCTAAAAATTTGTCTTTTCTCCAAGTTTTTTAATTTAAAATTTTTTTATGCCATTTTGAATTTTTTATTTTTACCCATACAACAAATTTTATTTTCATACCAAATTTAATGCTAATTTTGATATTAATTAATACCAAAATTTCAAAAACAATTCAAACTGTCAAATTAATGTTACAAAATTAAAGTTACCAAATATATGTATAATAGATTCATAATTTGATGAAATTATTGGAATAAACTCTTACTTTAATTAAAGTTTTAAATTTAGTGTTAAACCATAGAGGGAGGGGGGGGGGGTGATTAGGGTTTTATGCTAATCTAAATCCGATAAATGCCAATTAAAACTTATTAACAAAGTTATCCTAGCAAGACGTGAAATATAACAAGATATGTAAGCTAGGATAAGCAATATGAACAACAAAAGGATATATCCTATATGATGAATAATAATGCAAGGATATATAAACTACACAGGATAAACAATCTAAATCAAGATATGGATGATATAGAAATGAGCAATGCACATGGCGATATAAAGATATGAACATAAATATGAATGACACGCCAAACACACTCCAACAAAAGCAATATGATTACGGAGTTCGGACCTTCGTCCTACGTCCTCCGCTCCCCCACTCCCGGGAGAAATCACTAACACAATCCGATTGTTAAGCCGAACTTCTTCTATACCACTCGGTTTACAAGTTCACCGAAAACTCTCACACAACAAACAACTATGCAATCACACTCTATCACCCACTAAGTGTTGGACCGCTAGGCCGTGTCTCCCCTCAAGCTGCTCGGTTACACAACCTCTCTCTAGCACGGCACCGACGCCACTCCTCTTGGGACGATCCCGACTCTGCACCACACACGTCCTCAGCTCGGTGTACAAGTGTATTTACAAAGTGATTTCACAATAAGCATAAATATAACAAATGATGTCTCAAAACAAGGTGAGAACTCAATAAGCACAACCTCTTAGTCACAAACCCACAACCCCAAATTATCACTATGAATGTAAATACAATAAGCTCAAAAGGTTGTGTGTGAACAAAGAGATATAATCAAACTAAACTCAATGTAGTTTCTAGCTAAATAACAATGATAATCATATATATAAATAGCTAGAATAGAGTTTAGAAAACTTCTCAATATATCAAGAGTTGGAGAGATGAGATTGGAGCCCAAACAAGAGATGATCATCCTCACTTGTATAAAACTTCTTCACAAACTAAAGCAAACACTAAACCACACTTAAACCCTTGTTTAAAACTTTTTTTTAAAACTTTCTTAAAACATTTCTTGATAATGAAAACTGAGGTATAAGGGTATTTATAGCCTCCCAATACCTCAACAAAAGCCCAAACAAAAGACAAAACCCCTCAACGATACAAAAAATGCCGTCTAAGGCAGTCTGTGAGCTGGCGGTCGACGCGATCTTTTTTCCGGTCCCCGCCTCGCACTGTTCAAACACTGGAAAAGTTCCTGAGACATTTCGCGGTCGACCGGTCCGGGTCGACCGGAGTTACTGTAGCAGTGCGCACTGTTTTGTTAAAATCCAATTTAAAATAGTAAATAAAACCCAAAAATTAATGCAACTTGTGGCGAATGTTCTCATACATGTAGAATAACATGTCAGAGAAAGAATTTCTGAAAAATCATTTCCCAGTTGAGAGAAATAAATGTTTGAACACAAAAATACAGTTTCTGAAAATCTGCTGTGATACACGATTTTGTAAAATCAATTAGGCACAGTAAATCAACTCTAAAAATAGTAAAATTTTGTGAGAAGTTTCTAAATATGTAGGTAAACATGTCAGAGAAAGAATTTTTCAAATATCACTTCTCATTTGTAAAAACTCATCAGTTTTGTAAAACATGCACGAACATGTGCACGAACGAAAACGTGAATTTGTAAATTCCTTTAAACATAACAAATCAATTCCAAACTTGATGAAACTTTGAGAAATGTTTGCAAATGATATTTTGAACATGTTACAAAAAGAATTTTCCAATTTGCATTTCCCAATTGTGAAATCTCATTATTTTGCAAAAGTGTTCAAAACATGAAAAAGTGATATACATGAAGTTTGATGTTTTGACATAAACAACGTTTTGAAAATTTGCACAATTATTACATGGACTTGATAAAATATGTATATGATGATTGTTAAGTCTATAAACTGAGAATACAATATTTGAGCTTAGAAACCAAATACGTGTATGTATATATAAACATCAAAATCTAAAACACTTGTATGTATATATATAACTCTATATATATGCATAGAAACCAAATACGTGTGTGTATATGATATTGAGCTTAGAGTATCTAACACACATAAT